ACACAAGGGGTTAGAGAGAGTGAGAGTAAGAGTAAAGAGGGGTGTTTGAGGAAGGGATAAGGAGGGGGATCAAGATGAAGGCATCAGAAGACATCAATTGACATTACATTTGAAGATTATAGCTATTAGGGAAGCAAGTAAGAGGAAGGGAGTTCCAAGTGTGAGAGAAGAAGCTGTTAGAGTAGGTAAGTAAGTGGTTACATTAGACTGTTTTTACAGTGAAAAGGGTGGGACTGAAATGACAACCTAGTAACACACTTAAATTCATGCAGTTGGGGTACCAGTGAAAGTAGCTCATCAGAGCAGTTGCCATGAAAATATTTGTAGAAAAAACAGAGGGAAGCCACATCATGTCTGTGAGAAAGTAACAGTAAGATGCCAGGTCAGGGCCTATCACATTGCATATCCATCTTTGGATTTTGTTGAGAACATCGAGATGAACAGTAGGGGCCCCATATATATATATATATATAAAGGATTCTTATATATATATATATAGTGATCAGACAAGAACTGGTGATGGAAAGTGTGACAGATGAAAGCCATGAATAACTTACTTTAGGTAAATGGTTAGCAGAACAGGATTTGAAGAGATAGTAAAAAGGGAAAACTTACTAAGAGCTACAAACGGCAGAAAGTTGTGGAGAGCCATGATCATTCAAGTCTTGAAAGAAGATATAGATATATAGTAATAATAATAAATGTGTTTCCACAAATACAAGGGTTTATATTATTCTAATTAATGGGCAAACATATTCAGCCTACATGAAGTGGAAAGATTATATTGAATTAATTGCTAGGTCCGTTGCTAAGAAAGTCAGTTTACTGTGTTGGGCAAGACAATTTTCTCTCCAGAATCTATTTTACATATCTATAAGTCTACCATTCATCCAGGCTTAGAATATTGCTGCCACATATGGTTCAGTGCCCTTGCTGTTTAACTTGAGCTCCTTGATAAGATCCTAAGAAGAATCAGCAATATTATTAGTGATAATCTGGCAGCTTGGCTTCAGTCACTCTCACACCACCATCAGATTGCCTCTTTTTGCCTTTTCTATAAATACTTTCATGGTAATTTTTCAGATGAACTCTTCACTATGGTACCTAGACTTTTTGAATTTAAGCACAGCACTAAACTGGCATTGAGATTTCATCAATTTACAGTTGAGCTTGTAAGATGTAGCTGTAAATTATTTGCTAACAGTTTTTTTTCTCACACTTCTCACTTGTGGAACTCCCTTCTATACTTTCCAGCAAACTTTAATCTGCAAAAATTTAAATGCAATGTCAATCGCTATGTACTGTCCTCCTAATTACTCTTTTCTCTTTCCACAAATTATTAATGTTTTTGTTCCTAATTATTCCACACCCTTTAACCCCTTGTGTCTTAGTGGCTTTACTATCTTCCATGGGGTGATACTGATTAAAAAAATATTAATTCTAAGATATTCTAAAATATAAGTGAGAGAAAACTGGTTAAATTTAAATCTGTTTGGTTTGAATAAATTAAAAACTATCCAAACAACCTTAGTATTGATTTCAACCCTAAAAATATATCTTGATAAAATTGAGTAAAAACATATGTGATAAAACTTAATGAAGACAAACTGAATAAAATAATAGCACAACTGACAAAAGAAAAACAAAAAAACTTTAAAAAACAATGACACAAAAGTAGGGGGAAGGGGGCGGGAGCAAATAAATCAATCACGCTGTAACATGTCTTCATTTATTCTCTATTGATGATATTCGATTAACTATTCAACATTCTAGGTCATCTTTTAAAGGACTTCCTTGTGGTTCTTTAATGTTGCTAAATATCTATAAACATTCAATAAAAAAAAAAACTCAAAGAATACATTTTAGGTAATGCATTCTTCAAAAGGACTTAAACAAAAATAATAATCTAAAATCTAAAAAACCCAAAAAGTGTATTTTAATATTTTTGAAATAATCAAATTGAAAACAAAAACTGAAATGTAATCTTTTTGCCTGCCAAGATCTTTTTGTGAAAAAACAATTTTCTTTGATTTCTATTTTATAATAAACTGGTTAATAAGTCATTTTGTTTTTCAGCTGCATGTATAATATTTAAATACATCAAATTTCACCATTTTTTAAATTGAGAAAACTACAGGAACTCTTAGAAAGTGTGGGGGGGTAAAGGAAAGAAAGAAGAAAGGACTAAACATCAATTTTAAGAAGAAAGAATCCATGGCTCTCAGCAAAAAGAACAGCTCGGCATGTGAACTATGAATTGGAGACATCAAAATCAAACAAGTACAAGAATTTAAACATCTACAAAGTCTTTTAACAGAGAATGGAAAATGTAACACAAAAATCCAAAAGCATATTTGGATAGAAAAAGATGCCTTTTAAAAGCTCAGCAAAAGTTTTAAGAAACAGGAGAATTTCACTAGAAACAAAGAAAAGATTGCTGAACACTTATGTAATATCAATCTTTCTATATGGCAGTGAATGCTGGATAATCTCACAGATGAAGAAAAGAATTTAAGCAAATGGAAATGTGATTCCACAGAGAGATGTTGAGAATATTGAGCAAGTGAGTTATGACCAAAATTTAGAGAAAATGGAAACAAAAAGGATTCTTATACTTTGAATCAAAAAAAAGTCAGTTGAAATTTCTAGGACAAATAATGAGAAAGAAGGCTTGGGGAATCTGACACTCAGGATATATTTAAGGCAATGGAGACAGAGGAAAGCCATGAAAACCTATCTAAATAAATTAGATAAATGGTTGGCAGAACAGGAATTAAGAGAGGTAGCAAAAAGGCAGCCATCATCCTGTCAAAATGCAGGAAATTAGTTTTCAAATTTAGTTAAAAGCTGATTTCCAAGACAGGTAACTCTTCTCTACTATTTCAAATTCCTTTTGGGTCTGTTATATTCACATATGTTCAAATGCCTTTGGGAAAGGCATGAACCCACATCTTCTACTCCCAGCCAGAGACAACAATAGAATAAGATGACCATTTCCAGCATCTTTATTATATATATGGATGGAGAGCCTAGAAACCGTCATGATTCACTACCAACTTCAATGGGATAGACACCTTGCCTGAATGCTAGACATCAACCAACCCAAACAAATTTTCTTCTCAGAGCTTGTAACTGGCAAGGAATCACATTGAGCCCCACATCATTGATTTAAGTATCAGCTCAAAAACACCTTGTTGAGGACAGAAATCAATCCAGTCAATTGGGAGATGGAAGCTGCAGAAAGAATTCATTGGATGAGAGCAGTCCACAAAAATAAAACAAAATCCTTCAAAAGACCAGAAGACAAAAAGACAAGAGGAGAAAAGTCCAAAGAAAAGACAGAGCTCTTTATCCCCTGAACCCTACCATGCAGTTGCTGTGGACATTTCTTCAGATCCAACGTAGGGCTCACTTCATACAAAAGGAAATCTCAATACTCAACAACGTTTCCACCAATGATGAGTTACAGGGTGTATGGGGCATTTATCAGTCTCAAGGGATCATTGATCTTTGCCCAAAAAGTTTTGCCTTAGCTGCTGAGAGTGGTGCAGCATCTATTTTGGCTGTATGGCAATAGTCTGTTTCATACTTAAATCTAATTGTCATGTGTTTAAGCATGAAACAGACTGTTGCTGATGGGTGTTGACCTCAATATCCACTTTTATATTTACATCCTCTCTATCACTGATATTGAGCACTTTAATCCATAAGTTTTATCACACACACACACACACACACACACACACACACACACACACACACACACACACACATATATTAAATGACAATTAAAAAAATTTCATGAAAGTATAATGTTTTGAAAAAAGTACTTTCATGAATGTTTTTTTCTTAATAGTTATTTAATGTATAACTCTATTGGGATTATTTACTCAAATTCTTAACATATATACATATATGGGATTGGGATTATTTATCAAATAACATATATATATATATATATATATATATATATATATATATATATATATATATATTATGAAATGCATTTAGCCCGATAATGTTCATATGATCATATCTGCTCAAGAGACATACCTTAACGTAAATAATGTATAAAGAGAAAATATATTAAATAATTGTCAGACTTAATCCATTTCATAATATGTTGTCACTGTTTACTTTAAGATACGTTTCGTGAGCAGATATGATTGTTCAGGAAAGATCATTGAAGATTTGTTGTTTAAAAACATTAATTTGGACTTTGCTAACCAGACGCTTCTCTATAGCTTAGCAGTATAGCATGTCAGATCAAATGACAGTTCCATATAGTATGCAGGTTCAATTCCTGCTGGAGAACACATATTTTCTACAAAATCTTTTGAACATTCAGGCCAATAAATGTAATTGATACTGTTTAAAAAACAGAGCATTTGCTTAAATAAATTGTATTTATTAAAATAACACATAAAAAAGAATATATATATATATATATATATATATATATATATATATATATATCACACATCTCAAAAGGAGTAGTGGTACATTGTTTGAAGATTTCTGAGTGAGGATTGAGCAGTCAGAGCCCAGAGATGGCAGCAATAATTCCCTTTTATCTAATCTGACTCTTGTAAAAAGTGAAGCATGGCAGAAGGAGCCAGATACTTTCTAAAGCAACAGAATGAAATTTTTCCCAGCATCATTATTATATAAGATATACTCTTACATGGACTGAAGACTAAAAAACAATCCCACTCTGATTTTCTGATTCATTGATATGTGTTTTTTACGGTTTATCATGCCTTTGTAGGTTATTTAAAACTTGAAAATATTTTTAGATTGTAAGACTTTTTTTTGAAGATAATTATGGTTTCAGTGACAAAAGCCTTACTAATTAACCCATAGCTGGGGGAAGAAAAGAGGTGGATTTATACCTTTTTCAAGGCTATTTGTGTGTAAATGAATATAACAATCACAACTGGAATTGGCTCTCCAAATAAAAATTCTGAGCCATTATCCATCCCACCACCCACACATCTAAGCTTACAGCACCTGGTATTCCTAAGTGGTCACACATCTAAGTACTGACCAGGCTTGACGTTGCTTAATTTCAGTGATCTTATGGGAACCAATGTTTCAACTTGGTGTGGCATAAGCCTTTTATTCTCTGTATCTTGTTGGGCAGTGGGTAAATTCCTTAATATTATTATTTAGATTTCTCAGTTAGAAAGCATAACCTGATTCCAGCTGAGAAAGCCTGAGGATTGTGCAGATACTACACTCTAAGCATAGGTAGAAAAATGCAATGGTTGTATCAACAAACAAGCTGAATAATAATATTAAAAGCAGTATAGATTACTTATATTCGAAATTCAAATAGAAATGTTATTTAAATTTGAATGAGTGACAATTGCTAATCAATTTAACTTTGTCTTTCATCTGATATTTTCTCAGTCTTACACTTGGGATATGATTGTCTGAGAAAAAGAAATTATTTTGTTCAGAAAGTAAAGATTCTTAACTATGATCACCCCCCCAAAAAAAAACAACTATAACAGTAAAACAGTCAGTTTGCAATAAAGAATTTTGCATCTCACTGTCCTCAAAAACAAAAGAAGAGAAAAAGACAAAATGGCTCTTCATGAGAAAATAAAAATGGCTCTTCATGTTCTGTCAAACCTTCATATTTTACATTAATGTCATAGCTGTCAAACGAACATTGTTTACCTTAATCAGAAAAAAATTATTGACCAAATATTTAAAACAAAAAATGATAATGTGTAAAAGATATATAATAATCTTAATATTGTCAAGCCAGAAAATACATAAATTATCAACATTGTTTTATTATGAAAAATATATCCAATATTAAAGTATATGAATTTCTGTGAAATTCTTTCAAGCAAACATTATACATATTCATCGCCAAGGAGAGTAGCAAAGTCATAATATTACTTAGAAAAAAAGGGTTTTAACCAATAATGGTGTCCTAAATTTCCAGGAACTGGTTCTATAAAGGCAGGTAATCTTTAGGAATCTATTCTGCTTATTTTCTTTTCAAATTGAGAATGAAAACAAATCACTTTATAGTATCAAAAAGAATTAAACCATATTGATAATTTAATAGAAAATACTTATTTATGAAGATAAAAATAATCCAGGCCACACAATGTGGAACATTGCAGAGATATTCCACAAATCTCATATAAATGTAATAAGGCATTTGAAAATATTTTGATAGATGAATAGCTATGATGTTTTAATATCTCATGATTTAACCAAATAAAAATTTAATGGACCACATTTCCATTTGCAATTCTCTGAACAACAAAAATGGCCTATGTTTTTTACAAGAGCAATCACAAGCAATGGAAAATATATTTTTTACAGCAATGTGAAAGAAAAAAAAAATATTGAAACTGTGCATTTAGTAGGATTGAAAAGGCATTACATATTACAAGTTTGTTCTGCAAAATCAGACGAATTTGAATTACCGTTCCAATTTCAACCAATTAAAAGCAGCAATCAAAGAAATGTGTCTTAAATTTGCTAATTGATAGTGTGTTGTCTTCCATCAAGACAATGCTAGAACTAACATCTCTTTGAAAACCCAGTAGAAATTTGTACTGCTTGTCTGAGATGTTCTACTACATCTATTGTACACCCTTGGTACCTTTGGATTACAATCCCTGTAAAATTCTCTTAATAGGAAGAACTTAATTTCTCTGAAATCCTGTAAAAACAACTTAAATCTTTTCATAACCTAGAAAGATTCCAAGTACTAGGTAGATGGAATCATAAAGACAACTCAGAACACATACAGTTGTGGATAGAATTATTTGCCCTTACTGAATATTTGCATATTTTCTAAGGAAATGCAAATGTTTGCAAGTACTTAGTGAATTTACCATAAATAGTTCATTGTGTATTTAGTTTTGAATAATTTGTGAAATTTTCAGAAGTTATGATGTATTATGTTCATTGATGTGACCCAAAATGATTCACACCCCCTTTACGGAAATTATGAAATAATATTGCTCTATGGCAAGTGTAACAATTTTTTCGTAATTTGACATTTAATACAAACGCCTTTTGAAAATAAAATAGTATTGACCTGATTCTATAACATTCTAAGAAGTAATGAAGAAGACAATATGTCATTCATTCTGCAACCATGCATTAAATGTTCTTAGATTGATAATTCATAGCATTATCAAGAAGTAGAATGTTTTGATGCTTTTGGACCAGAAAAAACTATTGTGAGTGCAGGGTATCATGGATAAAGTACAGTATTTGATTATTCTTAAAAAATAATATAAAATAAAGTGTATGAAAACTGTCTTTCGGGCATCACTGGATGTTCCAACATGACAATGACCTGAAATGCACAGCATGAAATGTTACAAAATACTTAGATGACAGCAAAATTAAGATATTGATATACTCCCAACAAAGTCCTGACCTAAAGCCCATTGAAAATTCATAAGCGTATTTGAATAAAAAAGTGAGGAAAAGAAGTCCTTCAGATTTGGGAGAGCTAGAAGCTATTGCCAAAGAAGAATGGATCAAAATACCTATCAGTGTGTATAGTGATCTTGTAAGGAACTATCAAAAATAATTAAAGGCAATAATCATGAATAAAGGTTACACAACTGGTTATTGAAGAAAGAGGGCCAATAATTTTATCCTATGTTAAATGTTTTTTTGGTGTATTTTTGTATTATTGTTTGACATTAAAATAAAAATTTTGTTGTGGGCATCGCTGCATATACATTCAAATCCATTATTTCATTATTTGTGAAAAAATGCACATGAAGTTTCCCTGAAAATTTGAGTTATTAAAGTTTTATTTGTTATTATGGAAAGGAGGGGGGGTGAATAATTTTGTCCATAACTGTATATGTACACATATCTAAATATTCTCTTTGAAATTCTCTTACAAATATTACTGACTTTTGTTCTGATCCAATACTTTCTTCCCGATTCACTATCAAAGTAAGAAACCTCCAAAATGCAATTCTTTGGGAGATATTTTATGAGCCATGCCAAGACAACCATTGCTTCCAATGTTTTCATCACCATCTACAAACTGTTTTGAAACATTATCCAATTTACTACCAGGGTAAGAAAACCCAGAATAAAGAAATTTATCACAAGATATCACATCAACTACTCCAGGATAACCATTACTTTCATTTCCTTTATCAGCATCTACAAATTGTCTTGAATTACTGCCAAAGTAAGAAGACTTAAAGAAAGAAATTCATTCTAAAGTATACTACAGGCAAAAAGTTTGGGGTTACCCTGAATTTCTTAAAATGAAATATTTTTTAAAGCAAAAGACAAAATTTTAGTGACTACAGCATATTTGCTTTTATTTTTCAGGCTTTCTTCAGGCTCTTTTTAGTACCAAAATCTCCAATTTGGGTTTATCTGTCCACAATGCATTTTGCTAATTTATGAATATTTTGCATGAGAAAATTAAATTTTATTTTTTCACCATTAACCCATCAGTTGAATTTTTGAGATTACCAAAATTTTCAGCTAAGTTAAATGTTAATACAGATTCTAAATGTTAACTCAGCTCTGACTAATGTTGTAAAAATAAATTGTAACTATTTTTGTTTGAAGAAAAAAAAAGATTTTGCCATTATGATAGTATTTTCATTTTTTTTTCAGTTTTGAAGCACTTTGCACAAAATGGCAAAATCAAAGCAACTAAGAATTGGAATGAGAGCACAAAATGAAATTTTATTCAAAGAAAGCAATTCTCAAAAGACAAATTTTCAAGAAGCTGAAAATTTCTAGCAATAGACTGCAATATTTGTTAAAAAAAAAAAGGCAGTTAGAAACTGATGCAAATGCAGACAGGGGAAGATCTGGAGCACCAAAAGTGACAACTCCTGCTGAAGATAAACACTTGATTTTGAGAGCAAAAGAAACATACCTTTCTTGAAGGTATTTGTGTCTATTCACGCTATTTACATTGTTCAGACTGTTGCTATCATCTTTATTGTCATATTTGTGACATTTCAGCCATTGTACGCTCAGGCCTTCTTCAGGTGATATACATTGGAATTTTGAACTGAATCCTTTATTTTGTTGACCAGAGTAGATTGTTCTAGTTCCACATGCCATGCCTTTTCTGGATATCTCAGTTTCAGTTATTTCTCTTTAGTAACTCAACTCACCAAGTTTTTGTTCACCTCTGCTTTGGCCAGATGAGGATAACATTCTGAACAATATAAATAGTGTAAATAGCTACAATACCTCATTTCAGAAATATAGACAACTATTTGTGTGTAACTGAATGTAACAAACCCAACTGGAATTCAAACTTGTAATTTGTAATTCCGAGCCATTATCAACCCACTAATATCTTACTTGACAAATTTGTGTGGGGTTAATGGCAGAATAAAAGATCATTTCAACCAACAAGAGACTGGAAATAGTGAAGGGTCATGATTACTCACATTCTGAAGGGACATGGCACATAAAAGTAGACAATAATATTATATTTTTTAAGAACCAAGTGGAGAACAGATTCACAAAAAATGATTTAAAAAAAAAACACTTAACCTATCATCTTTGAACAGAGGAGCAGTTCCCCTGTGAAATTATCAGTTAAATGAGTAGAACGGCTTTGTATTTGTGTTAAAATTAAAAATACAGTTTGATATGAAAAATTTAACAGTTTAAGGAGCAACCTGATCCTGAACTTGTGTATCATTTGCTGTTCACTGAAATATTACTTGACACTTATTAAAATGGTTTATTAATGACTAAGCCTCCCTGGTTCTGATTCTATATGTCTTATGGGAAATTAAAAAAATGTAATAGACGTTTGGTTATTTCATTGTTTATAACTTAATGTTATATTCCGTACGAATAGGAAAAAAACAAAATATACTTGAAAAACAAGGTGGATAAAATAAGTAAAGGTTTATTGTAAAAAACCAGTACAATAAGAATAAAGGTAACAGTTATGCATAAGGTCCTCGCAAGCCAATCCAGTAGTGAGTGCTACTATTGGAAGGTTGGTAGTTCTTGCATAAGTCTGATTCGAACTCAACAGATCCCAGCTAGACAATAATTACTAGCCCCCACCATGAGGGTAGATGTGGCACAAGGCCGAGTTTAACGTGGGTCA